CCTAGTCACGTGAGTTGGAGACAAAATCTTGAAATGGGGTCTAACGATAGATTTTTCATGAAATTATTATAGCATATGGATTATACGCTTTTGTGTTTCTATGATTGATACTCTCACATTTATACGGTCGTGTCATGTGTACTATGTTTCATTATATTGTGAAAGAATCTTAATATTAAAATGAATCCTAAAACATGCATGTGTATAAACAATAACGTTGAAGTGCTTCATCATTGTCTCTTTCTATGATTGAAAACATTGGTACGATCATTTGTTTGGTGTTTTTCTTAACTTACGAAGGAAATCTAATTATTGATGCACGAACATTTCAAAAATTTATGCAATTATTAATTTCCGTACCTTTTCATGGACCTCATGCTAGCGAATTATATATTTTTGAATCTTTTTCGAAATTGTGATTCTTTTTTTTTTTTGGGGCCAAATATATAAATTCACCAAATTATTGGAATTTCTTTTCGTTTTGTTTGCAGTTCAATTTTTGGTTTAAAATAAACCTAAAAAAAATTTTAAATTCAAATGCACATAGATAAATTTCAATTAATTTTTAAGCTATATATATTATTTTATATATATTTCATTGGGAAGTATGCGGAACGCTACCATTCGGAATTATGAATTATGAATTCCGAATATAGTTTAAATATTCAGCTCTACTAGATTAACTTAGTTTGGTTTGTTTCAAATGTTCAATCCTATGCATTATAAATGATTTTTGAAGCCATCATAAATATTTTTTTTTTTTCTAAATTGTAAAAATATATCAAAGTCAAGAATTATCATATGTTTTTCTCACCCATCATAAGTTCTTCCGTAAATTGGGAAATTAGTAAAATCAAGAATTCTAGGAAAAATTGCTCAAGACCGTTATATATGAAAACATATACGGATATGTATTAATATACCTCTTGTTGACCTTCCAATTTGAGATTGAAATCCACCTGCGAATCATTATCTTCCACGTGTCGTTTCAGCGACCGTTCCATGATCGGAGGCGTCTTTGCCGGACTTGGGCTACCGGAGCTAAGATCCACCGACGTACTCTGAATACCCACATCTCTTTTCAGCCCCACAACTTTCTTCTCTGCTAAAAAAAACACCCCAATAATTTCCTTTCTATCAGAAAAACACCCCAATTGATGATGAGAACAATCAGTTTAACAACAAAAAAGAAAGCCAACAGATTTTAAATCAGTCACCTTGAACAAGAACAGGATCAGGAGCATAAAGATCCTCGTGAATGACTCTAACACTAGGATTATTACTGGGTTTGTTTTGACCAATATTCATCAATGGATTAGGGAACTGATGAAGAGGAGCAGACATGGTGGATAAGTTTCTGAAAGATCTTGCACTTAATGTTTTATAAGACAAACACTCCATTGGAACTTGTCCAGACAATGGATTACAGATATATTTCTCTGCTTCGTTCCACTTCGAATTCAAAGCAAACCCTTCTTGTGTTAACCATTCTCTGTTATTGTACATTGTCTTTGCTTGTAACGCTGCAACAAACCAAAAACAGAACACAAGATTGAATATATACTCCTTTGTTCTGTTCTTTTGATTTGAATTAAAGAGAAGGGTTTATAAACTTACCCTTGAGTGCATTGGTGAAGGAATATGTTGATGGGTCAATCTCTTCTGTTTATAAAGATTTGAAATCTCAAAACATTTTCAGAAGAAATGATTCGTAAACTTATTAAGATAGAGAGAGAGTGGTAAAGTTGTAACCTTTGAGAGTGTAGCCAGGAGAAGAGGCAGTACTAGAGATGTTGTTCAAGTTTGTTCTAAAAGAAGACTTGTGATGATCTTCTCGGAAGCTTCCAATGTATGAAGCAGAGAACCTTCTAGAAGTCGGGTTTTCGCGGATTAATCGAGATCTTCGATCCCATTCTCTTAAGTTCATAATCTCAGGCTCATCTCCACGCAAGGCCATAGAAACGAAATG